GCCTCCATTTGCTTGCTTGAGAGCTTTTGTTATTGTTAGGGTTATTTAATATGTGGAACCCACTTGGTGGAAGGAGAGAACTGACTCCCCAAGGTCATACACACGCGCACACACACACACACACACACACACACACACACACACACAGAGGCATGTGTGTACCCACGTACTCAGACATGCGTACAACATAAATTAAGAAAAAATTAAAATCATTTTCAATAAACCATTGGGAAAGAAAATTAAGACATTGTGTCTGATCCTCAGCATCTCAGACACTAATGGAATGGGAGGATGAGAAAGCATAGGGAGATTACATAAATCCAGCAACGAGGGAAATACGCTGGAGCAAGTTGTTAATGCTATTCACGTCCAGTCAGCAACAGAGAGATGCTTTTGTTGACTTTTTAATCAAGAGAGACATTTCCCTGGAAAGTCTAGAAAACTTCATGGCTCATTGCAGTTTAGCATCCAAATTTACCTGGTCACTCATTTACTTATTCACTTTTCCATGCTCCAGATGTCTGACAAATACCAAGTTCTGTGTGAGATGCTAAAGATATATCAAAGAAAGAAACATTAAAACTCTCTACCTTCATAGTACTTAAACTTCAGAAGTAGAAGGGAAGGCAGATAGTAAGTGAAGACATGAGAAAATATTTAATATATGTTATATTGATAAGGGTTACAGAGAAACATTAGACAGTGCTTACCTACTTTTTTGAGATGATCTCACCCTGTAGTCCAGGCTGGCCTCAAACTTATAGTGTTCCTGTCTCCACCACCTAAGTACTGGCATTACAAGCCTGACACCATGTCTGCTATTACATTCCTATTCGTCATTGTTGTGCTTAGCTTACTAATTCATATTGCTTAGAATTGTGAAGGTTGCAAATGCACAAAGACATGAAATAAAGAAAAGATTGCTTGGACAATTTCCAGTAATCCATTGTGAGTTTCTGTGTATTTTTCAGAATTCGTTGCATAAGCAAGTGGAAGAAATGGAACAAGATAGCCTAGTAACCTTGAATGTTGAACGCTTAAAAGGAATATATGGTCATATAACTGTAGCATGGGAAGCTGTTGGAAGTATTGGTGACGTATTTCCTACCTCGGGAGTGGTATGTGATTTACAGAATTATAAGAGACATTTTGAAATTGTGGTTACTATTGATACATGGGACTAAATAATGCTTTATGGATGAAATATTTGAGTTTGACCATATCAACACTGTATTTCTACTAATCACTGTAGTGAGGGATATGTAATAGGGTTAATTTTGTTACTGCTTATTTTCTGTAAAACAAAAAACTATCTGTACAAAAAATGTGGGCCATTTTGAGGTTCTGCATATCAGTTGTCCAAACTGTATTACATTGTGAGAAAGATAAATGAACCAAAGTAGGAATGGCAGTGTGTCGAGATGAAGGAAAAGCAGGAACAGCACTTAGAGGACAAGTCTGTGCGAAGTCGCCATCCTTATGGAAAGGTAGATTAGAGCTGAGGACTGAGGTAGGTTCAGTTTGTGGTAAATAGAGTTTGGGATGGTGGGCAGCGGGGTTTGCATTAGTATAAGGAAGTGAGGAAGGAATGAACATGTAGGGGGAGAGACTCTTCTATAGGCAATTGCAATTACAGTTGAGGTAGATCCTGTGAGAGAAGGCTGCATTTAAGATGACTTTGGCCTCCATCTCAGGTTTAGGCTGGAGCAACTGACGGCCCTGTTTCAGAAGTTACTCTTCAGTCTAGCCCCCTTCTAGGGGGGTAAGACCATTAGCTAAACCTAAGGGCCATCTCATAGGGACACATACAAGCTGCTGCTCCTAGTAGATGAGGTGTGGCTTCATCAGCTGTAAGAAGGGGTCTGGGCTGAGGATCACATTATCCACCACTGCAGGGTGGCATAAACTTGGTGCTCTGTTTTGAAAATGGACTTAAAATGGCTAGAGGTAGGTGACTCACACAGAGGGTTCAGGGAGCCTTTTGTACTATTGGCAAGATAGTTGTCTTCCTGGCTTCTCTTGGGTTTCATAGATCAGTGTTTTGCTCAATATTTCTCTGAAGAACTCTTATGGAATTATCTCAAAAGAGGAAAATTGTATGTAATTGTCCAGCATTTCTAGGTTTGTATCATTTAAAAAGGTGATCAGTGTTTCAATGTATTATATTGGAGCTAATTCTCTTGCATTTAACACTTAACTATATGCACATTACCTAAATCATTAGTTGTGTCTCTGTTTCTGCATGCTCCGAATTACAGTTCTCTAAGGTTTATTATATAAACATGATTAAAATTATTTTAAATTTAATTGCCTATTACTTTAGACATGAATTATATTGTGAAAGAATCATTTTATATATGTTAGTAAATTTTCTTTCTGCAAAGGGTCAGATAGCAGATACTTCAGATTTTTTGCAGTATCTCTTCCCTTTTACAACTACTTTGCGTTTATAGCCCAGTTGTACCAGACAGTATAAAGCAGGTGTTATAGGTAGTGACAGTGTGCAATTGAATCAGTTGTGCTGAATCCCAGTAAAACTTCATTTATGTTAGAAGACTTTGACTCATAGGATGGGAAGAAGCCCAGGCCTGCAATGATGGTTTGAATAATTGTGAATGTAGCCACATTGCTGGAGAAATCATAGAAGGGATGATAAGGTAGGAACAACACCCAAGAAGTGAATAGAACCCCATCAGCAAGTACTTCAGATGCTTTTTTAGCAAGTTTGCATTTGACCTTGAATAATGGAAATAGGAAGGAAGGAGAGACATACTGTGATTTGCATCTCTTCCAGTCTTTCTCATACTCTATTTGGCTGATTCCTTGTTAAGTGATAGATCTACCTACAGTAGCAATCCTGGAAAGTGTTTTATGGAGAAAAACATTTAAGCTAGTAAGCCACTTTGTTTTATTTTGTAGAGCTTTATATATATTATCTACAACTTGGATTTCTGAGAGACTTCATACTTTGTATTATAAGTGAAATGTAGGTTCCAAAATAAGACAGTTTGACTACAAGTATTAAATTCAGTTTTAAAATGGCTTTTTTCTTTTTTCCTAACAGTTTTTTAGTTTTAATATAAAAGACATTTGGTTCATTTGTAAAATCATATATTGCCTAATTGTCTTTGTCATTTTAGTTGTGGTCATATTAAAGAAAATCAAATTTTGAGATTCTTATGTCATGATGATAATCATAAAATAAGCAAAATCTTCTTTCTTTAATTTTGAGATTTCATTTATGGAGGACCAAGCACTGGCTACAATCACTCTGACTGTTCTTGCTGATGATCTACCTGAGTTAGCAGAGACTGTGATTGTAGCATTCACCAGCGTCACCACAGAAGGGGTTAAGGACCCATCGAAAGGTGCTACTGTTGACCAGAACAGAAACAAGTCTGTGATAACTATCCTGCCCAGTGACTCGCCCTATGGCATTGTGGGCTGGCACACTGAATCTCTCGTCACTAAAGTGTCAGAGCCCCAAGGTAAGTCCTGGTAAATATTTTTCAAAGTTGTATGAAAAGTTTTATTGACTATTTTAATTATATTATTTACAAAGAATGGAAATTTCTTTTTTATATGGCTTAAGATTGGATACGTCATACTCCTTTTAGTTTATCTTAATTAAAATTTATAATTATAGAATCAATTAGCAATAAGGTTTTTAAAAGTACTTTTAATTTCTAAGAGTATGCTTTTCTAATAGAAATGCCAGTATTTAAGTCATTTTAGTTATGAGGGGATTGGTTTTTACTTACCTTTTTATTGTTTATCTGTTCTCATTCCACACCCAGATTTCCTCTCTCTACATTTTTAGTAGGTGTAGAGAACAGTAAACAACACTGTGAGATACACATGGAACTGAAGATATTAATTATGTAACCCCAGTAGTTACTAGAGTAATTTCATTCTGTGACAAGTACATCCATCAGTCCCTATCTTCCTAGAGTAGTGGATGTTTTTCTAAATAATTATTCATATCAATTGTTGGAAGAACATTTTCATATGTTAAGGTCAATCAAGTTATTTATATAAAAGGTTATATACAGTGTATATTTAGAATATACTTACATGATGGTTTGAAAATTTTCAGATAACAACATGGACATACAGCTTTCAGATTCCTTTCATTCACAGAGCTAATGGGAAAAATGGCATGTAGTTATGTTCCTAGGCCCTTATATAGCTGTATGTTCAAGACCAGAAACAATAGACATAATAAATATTTCTGAAATATTTCTAATTGATAGGAATTACCATCTGCCTTTTGAAAATAAAGACATAGTCATTAGAAGCTCATAGACTGATGGGAGAGACAAACAGACATTTTAAAATTTCATTTTATATGAAAAATTAGTTTTTTTAAATCTAAGAAATGAATAAATAATAGATGCTGGGACACACTTTGAACTGCGTGATTGGCACCACACTATAGGAATAAAAATCACTCTTCTAGTGATTAGCTGTTAAATAATGACTATGTATTTAAGTGTTAATTTTCAAGAAATTCCTGAGCATTATGTAATTATCACCTCTGTTCACCTTCCACATTTGCACTTCTCTAACATTTCCACCAGCTTTACTTAAAGCATATGACATGTATGACATGGTGGCCACATTTGTAGGGACAGAGGGCTAGGCGCCGGGCGTTATAGCAGATAAAAGGCTGATGAGTGGTTTTCAGCACAACTTTGGCAGGGATGGAGACAAAGCATAGAAAACTCCTCAGAAGGATATTGCCGTTGTTTTATTTCCTTAACTGTCTAAAAGACAGTGCATTCCACCAGGAGTGTTTGGAGCAGCATCAGCAGCAAGTAGAGCAGCTTGCTAACTTCAGGCCCGCTTATCTTCTAGAGAACATCACCATTCTGCAGTTACAAATTGTTCGCGACAAAGGATTGTTTGGGGATATTGCCATTCACTTGGTAGCAAAACCCAACTTCTTACTGCACATTAATAATCAAGCTACTGAGAATGAAGATTATATGTTGCAAGAAACAATAATAATGATGAAAGAAAACACAAAAGAAACTCATGCCAAAGTTACCATTTTGCCAGTAAGTATAGATTATGACAAATATGTACAAATAAGCTAACGTACCTTTAAATGTAAAACTGCAATTCTCTAATATTTAAAAACCTTTATTTAAAAGATGCATTTAAGCTAGGTGTGGTGGCACACGCCTTTAATCCAAGGACTTGGGAGGCAGAGGCAGGCAGATCTCTGTGAGTTCAAGGCCAGCCTGGTCTACATAGTGAGTTCCAGGACAGCTGCGGCTACAGGGAGACCCTGTCTCAAAAATACAAAAAAAAAAAAAAAAAAAAAAAAAGAAAAATTAAAAAAAAAAAAAAAAAAAAAAAAAAAAAAAAAGATACATTTAAATACAAATATGTGGGGCTGGAGAGATGGCTCACTGGTTAAGAGCACTGGCTATTCTTGGACCCAGATTCCATCCCCAGCACCCACATGGCAGCTAATAACCCTCTGTAACTCCAGTTCTGGGAGATCCATCACCCTCTTCTGACCTCCGTGGGCATTGCAAGACATGGGTGTTCCTACCTACATGCAGGCAATATACTCATACACATAAAAAATAAAAATAATAAAATAAAATAGAAAACAATACAAAAATGTAATTTTACCACCCAAATAAATACTTGATATTTAATAAACATTTCATTACTGGATGAGAAAAATGACAAGTGTATTAAATATACTGATTTTTGAGTGGGAATACTTTAAATGGATTTGAAATACTGAATTTGGATTGATTATATGTCTGATTGTTTGGCTCCACTATTAAGATAAATGGTTAGTTGCTTTAATAACTGAATGAATGAAATCTCTAAATCAATCTAGCTATTTTTATTGTTTGCATGACAGGAGAGAATTTTCATTTCACAATACAATTGCTTAAATCAAGATTAATAATCAGATGTCAAGCTTTGCTGGGTACATCTCTCCCCCTCGTCCTCATTCTATCTAAAGGGAAGAGGGGAGCTAGAGAAACAGCAGGGGAGAATATGTGGATGTATCTGTAATAACGCACAAAAAATCAAAAGTAGCAGTAGTTTGGGGCTGGAGAGATGGCTGAGTGGTTCAGAGCAGTGACTACTCTTGCAGAGGACTCGGGTTTGATTCCCAGCACCCACACCGCAGCTATGAGCTGTCCTTAACTCCAGTTCCAGAGGAATCCGAAGCTCTCTTCTGACCTCTGCAGCATTGCACAGCACGGGTGCACTCACATATATGCAGGCAATACACTCATACACATAAAATAAAAATAATAAATAAAACAAAATTTTAAAAAAGTAGTAGTAGTGTTTAATAGTATATTATAGTAATATATAACAGTTATTAGGACTGAAGATTTAATTCAGTGCTAAAGCAGTTGCCTAACATGCATAAGGTCCTGCATTTGAAACCTAGCACCACAAAAAAGTTAAAGTGTGTTTATAAATAATATCAGCATTACGCACTATAGACATATGCTGTTAAGTAAATATAAGACATAATATAATAGCAATATTTCTCTTCTTATTAGAGGTGTTTCTGGAATCGGTTCATTGTCTGGAGAGGACAGTATATGTGCATAAGGGATGGTTGAGCATGGGGGGGGTTCTTTTTTTAAAAAACATTTTATTTATTATTTTCTTTTCATGTGTATGAGTGTATTGGCTGCATGTATGTGAGTGCACCCATGTTCTTAA